TAATCATACAAATATATGAGCCTATAAGGGGCATTCTCATTCCAGCTGCTACAGTGCATTAAAAGATGCAGTGATTTTAGAGGAAAACCCTAAATAAATGGACTCATTCTTTGAATAATTATTTGTGCTGGGAAATGTCTTAAGTTATGGGACTCTAGGGATTCATAAGACAAAGTCCTGATTCTCAAGGAGTCGAGGATGCAAGTGTTAGGCGAATGCATTCATGTTCATCAGATGTTCGTACATAGAAGTGAATGAATGACAAGTTCGTATCAGGTAAGTCTAAAGAGAGGGGGCACGGGCCCTGGGGATAAAGGCTGCTCTTGGGATCTCTTAGGTGTGGAAGTAGTAGATATATGCAAATATGGTGACAAGATTAAGAGAAAAGGAAGGCAGAGCCTCAGGTTCAAGCTGGTGCCTTCTAAGCTTAGATTTAACGGACAGGGCAGTCTCAAAAGTATGCAGAGTCCAAGTGAATAACCAACCACATAGAGTGACAGAGGCTGAGGTCTCAGATGTTCTAAAATGGTTTGTGTGCCAGAGAAGACTATCAGAAATTTTCTTTTTTCGGACAACAAACTGGCTCAGTGCGTAAAGGTACTGCCAAGCCTAATGCCCTGAGTTCCAATCTCAGGACCCTAATGCTGGAAAGGAAAGAACTGACTCACACAAATTATCTTCTGACCCTCCCCCTCAATTCATTGTGGCATGTGTCTATGTATACACACCCACACCTCCCCCACACAGACAGGCATGTACCCACACAGACACACAGACACACACACACACAGACACACACACACACACACACACACACACACACACACACACACACACACACACACAAATTGTAAAAAATAACAGATTAAAAAGGAAAGGAGTTATCCTTTAATTCTCTTAAGAGAATTAAATTTAAATAGTGATTTCTGAGGTCTGTTTAACATCTCAATGAGATCTAACAACCTCATATTTCAATTTAAAATTCATTCGTGAAGAAAATCATCAGTTAACCAGTTTAACGTTGTGATTAGAATCATGTCTGACAGGTCCTCTCAGACACCGCATCTTTTCAGTTGTGATCTGTTTAAGCTTGGCATCCCCACACGCCATATTAGCCCGACCCAAACCCGAAGTGGCAACAGCATGGCTTGAACAGGCCCGACACCGCTCTTTCTGTATTGGGTTTGTGTGAGGTACACTTCTCCTTGCTGTGACCACGTACCTGACCAGAAGCAGCAACTTAGAGGGGGAAGGGTTTATTTTGGCTCACAGTTTGGAGGGATACAGTTCATCATAGAGGGGAAGGCACGGTGACAGGTGGCTTGGCAGTGGTGGAAGCTTATAGCTGGGACTTTTCGCCTCCTCACATCCTGGTAAAGGAGGCCATGGAAAGCAGACAAGAAGTTGGCGTGAGATAGAAAGTCCTAAGGTTTTGTGTGGTGATTAACTTCCTACAGCAAGCCGAACCATTGCCTGGGGATCAAGTGTTCAAACAGATGAGCCTAGGGGGACGTTTACATTCAGATCACAACACACTTCTACCTCTTTCTGGGGTTAAAACTCATACAAGTAAAGGAAACGCTTTACTGTTCTGAGCCGTTTTCTTATTTTGGCCCACATAATGTGGAGCTAGCAGATTCACAAAACTGGGTACCCAGGACAGTTCTCCTTGTCGGGAAGATGAATGCACACAGGTCGTGTCTTTCTTTTCGGTTCTTTCCAACAGCATGTGATTCTAAGCCCATAGTCTACCAATGCCTCCATGATGTTTACAACTCAAAGCCCCTGAGTTCAAGAAACATGATTGCTTCAATGTTCTGATATTTCCAAGCCTGACTAAGGTCAAAGCTAATTAACTTCCTTCTGTGCTTGATTGGATTTAATGTTCGTGTGTGTGTGTGTGTGTGTGTGTGTGTGTGTGTGGCTTTGTGTGTGCTGTACCCATGTGTACATTTTTGTATGAGTGTGTTCATGTGTGCATGCCACAGGTGAATGTCGAGTGTCTTTTTCAATCATTTTACCATCTTAATTCTGGATCCTAGTCTCTCACTAAATCTGGACCTCATCTGTTTATCTCTGTCCAGAGAGTCCCAGGGACCCTACTGTCTCTGCCTCCTAGCACAGAGTTTCCTGAGCACACACTGTCAGGCCTGGCTCTAGGTAGATACTGGCATCTTAATTCAGTTCCTCATTCTTGACTGAGCCATCACCCCACCTCTTACATGATACTAGAGGCAGCTTCATTGCCTTTCTAGTTGATCTTCTACTCTGTTATATAGTTTATTTCTAAGTCTTTGCTGACTTTGTTTTCTGATCCTACAGATGGACGTTTAATCTTGACTCCTCCACTTCCTCAACCTCCCCCAAAGTTGGTTTCTAACTTTCTTCAGTGATGTGTTTATTAGATGACATTTGTAAGCTAATTAACTTCGTTCTGTGCTTGACTGGTTTAGTGTTCATGTGTATGTTCGTGTGTGTTCAGATATTTTGTTCCTCCTTTGTGTAGTGCAGTGGTATTTTTTTAAATCTGTATTTTGCTCATACTTTTACCTAGTTCCAGGCTAGTGTGAATTAGATACTAATAAGACGTGAGTTGTTTGGTGAGTTTAAGAACAGAATGAGGCCAAGTGGTTGCAGCGTGGTGGTCAGTGGGGAGAGTGAACAAGGAGGAGGAAGGTAGGAGCCAGACCATGTCTTAGCTTTTAGCCACTGACTAGTTTTCTTCTAAACCCTTTGGGAAGCCACTGGAGGAGTTTATATATATAGGTATTACTATAAGTAAATTACTGTAAGTACATTGCACCTTAAAATATTTCTCTGCCTAATTCTGTGTGGAGGATGCATTGAAAGAAAGCCAGTGTACAGTGATGGTCTGGGAAACTGGTGCTGGAGTCCTGAGGGACAGTGATGTGTGGGCCTAGATGATACAAAAGGTGTGATGGGGCTGTGACAGATTAACTTTTGATATTAATACATGTTACTTAAGTGGGATTGTTGGGAGTGGGAGGGAGACACGTGATAATGAGGTGATATGATCAACACGGAAGCAGAGATGAAAATGTAATGCAATCCAGTCTGTATAATTAATGTATGCCAATAAAATTTTTAAATGCTTAATAAAGTTTATAAACGAAGCTAAATGTTAATTAGTGAGGACATTAAAAATCAATCTTTAAAAACATTATGTGTCCTTTTGTAAAGGACACATAATGAAATATTTACAGGAGAAATGAAATTTGTTTTACGATATCCTTATGGGGAGGCTCTGAGGAGACCAGATGACATTACATGAAAATGTGAATGGGGCTTGAAGATGGCTGACAAGTGTGGAGAGTTGGATCTTAGGCTCTCCATGTTTACTATGTTTGAAATTTCACATTGTTCAAAGCACAGGTCATTGCAATGTTCTTCTCTGTATCATCTCTCTTCCTTCTTTTTAAAAATGGGGTTGCCACTATGTAGCCCAGGCTGCCCTGGAACTTGAGATACTCCTGCCTCAGCTTCCCGAGATTACAGGTGGGAGCTGCCATGTTCTGTTTTCTTTCTAGGCCTTAGTGACTTAGGAATAGCTGTGTTTAAGGGCTTGCATCCCAAGAGTTTGAATCTCTGGTGCCTGCAAATTATTTAATCTTTCTCATCCTCATTTTTTTTTTTTTTTGTAAAGGGAGAGAATGGGATAGGAGAGTGGATTGTGTGTATGATTAGACTAGTATTGACCTCAGAGTTGTCATGAAGAGATATATGAATGATACGTGGCCTGGGTAAACAAATATTGTTTTTAACCAAATCTTTGTGCCAATTCCCCTTACAAGCATACTGTCTCCTGCTTTGAATCTAGAGCTTTCACTTGAAGGCACATTCTTGCTGTGATGTCATACTGAAAGATTCCTTTTAGAATTCTGAAGTAGTTAGCTTCTCCTCTTGGTGTTGGGAGTTTAGTCTACAGGCTGGTCTCATTCCATATCTTGTCAATAACCGGAAACGTCTTGGCTTGTTTGAAGTGAGGAGGAGGAGTTGGTTGGGTTGCTGAAATGATTGCCTGCGTTCACTTTCTGGAATCCACACTAACTTGGCAGGTAACCGTGGCTCAGGCAGATCACCTCTCAGTTCGTGGACAGAGTTTTCCAGGTCTCAGCTGTGTCTTCTGACAAAAGCCTTTCAAAACTAATCACCCAGGAAGGCAGTGTTCATGGTAACTTACAGAATACTACCGCAGATCATAATTGTGTAGAAAATATATCTGATTAAGATTAAAATAATAGGAATCTTGTCCAGACTCTTCCGTGATCCCATCACTCAAACGTCACACATTTTTTTTTTTTTTTTTGCTTAGTATTTTTCTTGTATTGTCCATTTTTTTTCTAGAGCACCACCCACTCTGAGATGAGCATTTTAGTGTTTTATTTTCTTTAAATTTGCCTCTCTGGAGGCCTTTGTTTTTAAAGTGAGTCAAAACTCTGGGATTTATTTAAAGCCTCCAGGCTGCCCAGGGTGTTACAGGAGATTTACAGCCTGCTTTTCCCACGGTTTGCCTGCGACTCTGTTACTATCCCATAGATTACCTGGAGGTTGGCTTCATGGAAAAGAGAGAGCTGGATTTATGATCCAAATACGTATCAACAATAATATCTCTTTGTCTTTAAAATGAGAGCACAGCTACAGAATTAACACAGGTGGCTTCTTTTCTTTCTAAATATTACCTATTAAAATTTTTAATACCTCTTGTATAGTGGTATAATGGGAACTCGAGGGAGGTAGAACTCATCTCTGTCCCAGGGAACTGCATGCCAGTGGGACACTATCCTAGGGACAGTGGAATTCAGTCTTCGCTTCTGAAACTTCCAATGATATAAAACTACATGGGATCAAAGAGTGTCCGAGATGCTCTCATGCAAGGTCGCTGCTTTTAAGGGTGGGTTCTGGTTGAGTGCCTCAATTTGAAGGTGACTGGTGGTTTTTGAATACCAGGTCTTGAACAATGGCATATTCTTTTTCTGCAGGCTATACTGGAGAGCTTTGCCAGTCCAAGATTGATTACTGTGTCTTAGACCCATGCAGAAATGGAGCCACATGTGTGTCTAGCCTCAGCGGGTTTACCTGCCAGTGTCTGGAAGGTAAGATGCCATGGAGTACTTTTGGAAAGATTTCTATGTTCCACTTCAAGTCATAAACTCTTTTTATCAGTACTTCTAGTTTCTAAATACTCTGTACAAGAGAAAATATATATATATATATATATATATATATATATATATATAGAGAGAGAGAGAGAGAGAGAGAGAGAGAGAGAGAGAAAGAGAAAGAGAGAAGAGAGAGATCAAACCAAAAGATGACCCCTCACTTTTGTTGTTCTTTTATTTATTGAGAAATGGTCTTATGTAGCCCAGGCTGGCCTCAAACTTGCTATGTAGCCTGAGATGACTAAATTCTGGATCTTTCTGCCTCTACCTCTTGAGAGCTGAGATAATAGGCATGCATTGCCATGTCCAACACGGGTTCTCTTTATAGCTGCATTTGAATATAGAGACAACCCAGAAATTTTGGTCATTTGACATATACATATATAGTACTTATATATGATATATGTGTATTATATATATGCATGATAATCATATATCTTAATTAACATAGTAAAAGAGAGCCTAATAGTGAAATTCCACTCAAGAGTTCTATTTGGCTTGACTTGTTTTAGCTCCTGTATAATTTCACATTAAAAACATCCAACATAAAAACTGCTGTTTTTGTGCTTTGCAGCAACTTTATAACATCTTAGAAAAATTAAGCCACCTGGAGAGTCCTATCTTTAGGGCTTTTTTTTTTTTTATTTTAAAAGATGGGTTTACTGGTTAGAAAAAAGCAGTCAGGTAATAGAAAATAGAGCTTGGCATTAAGGAATGGCTTGTTGCCATTTCTGCTGTGAGAGGATTACTCTAAATCCTTAATGTTGTAAGAAAAACACAGTGGTAGAGTTTTCCTTGCTTAAAACTGTCAAGTAGGCTCCTGATTCACAGACATAACACAGGCAACTGCTTAAGTGTCTCACACTCTGCAAAGGTTGAACATAGACCCTCTGCAGAAGGGCCACATTTTAATACTTTGAAACATCCTCAGCTGTCCCTGGCTAATATCCTGGCTCCTCTTTAATGCTGGGGTCCCCATGAGCTACCCCCCGGGTTCAGTTCTTGCTGGCCTAGGAAGGCACATGGGCAGGATGACTGAGTTCCACCTCCAACCCCAGTTTTATGTGTTAATAATGCATATGGTTCCCTTAGTGACAGGGCAGCACCTGCTCTATTAGCCTGCTCTTTGGAGCCTCCCTGTCTTTCTTTGGCAGTACAGACAAACCGGTCAGCTTGGAGGCACACCAGAGCTGAAGGCTGAGCAAACAACACCACTGTCACTTGCCACATAGACTGCAGTTTTCCAAAGCCGTGTCACATTTGGGATGAGTCCGTTGCCATCTACCTCTTTTAGGTTTTTCTTTTTCAGTCAAGGTCAGTGTTCAGGGGCATTATGGATCCAAGTGGAATTTTGGCAGAAGAGTTTTGCAGCTCCCCAAGCACTTTATTATTTCTTTGATAGTTTACTAGAAAGGTACAACAAAACTCCAGCGGCTTAAAGAGGACAGTTTGTACAACTTGAACTAGAACCTAGGGACCTGGCTTCACTCATCTCATTTTCCTCCCCAGCACACTTTTCTGAGTACTTGCTACACATCAGGCGTTGTGCTGAGTAGTGGATTTTGATGGTTGGAGAGGCTGAAAGGTCCTTCCTAGATGCAGTGTAGTTAGTTCATTGAAGGCCCGAGGGAAGAGGTGATGCTAAGATGAGGGCTTGGAGGCAGTTGGTTGGAAGTGGGGTAGGGCAAGTTGTGCAAGGCTTCCTGGGCTGCACGTGAGCAGCCAACTTCTTCATCCTGGAGTGGAGGGAGGCAGAGGCTTAGGTTTTGTGTTCAGCTCTTCCACTTAGCTCTCTATCCATGGACAAGCAACTTTGCCTTTTGGAGCCTCAGTATCTCATCTACAAGATGATTATATGTGCTTCACAGGGTAAGTACAAGGATTCAAGGCATCCCCTTTTGTTTTACATAAGACCTGATGCAGATAAGAGTGCTTGGTCCAGCAGCAGGAAATGTTGTCAATGAATATTTGGTATTTTTTTGTCATTGTTCTGTCATTAATTGCCATTAAACCATTGGCAAAATTAAACCAAGTAATTTAATAATTTTATCCTGGAACAGTACTGAATGTAACTTGGAGAGAGATGAGAGCAGAAATAAAGAGAAAGTTCTGGGGACAGTTGCAGAAATTCAGGAGGTAGTTGGCTTCTTGGAACAGAAGAACAGACTCTTGGAAGAAGCAAGAAACTGATACCTATGAGAGAATTTCAGGGGAAAAAGACGGGAGCTCTTGGGAAGGATTGACATAGAGGGTAGGGCACAGTGAGATAGAACTATGTGGCTTCCATCACTTTCTAGCTAGTTGTCTTCTTTAAGGGAGGCATGAAGGTTTTACAGACCTTGTGTTTGAGGGGCCCTTAGCTCACACCAGTGAGGTGCCACTGAGGAAGAAGAACTAGCTAAATCTAAAGAGAACTATTGACCTACAGCAGTCTAAGCCCTGGGTACTGGGTCTAGGATTCTTCTTCAACCCATGGCCCTTTGTCTGCTCCATGCTATAAAGATTGGTATTCAGGCATTGAAGAAAATGAGCATGTGTATCCCAGCAATGGTTTTATTCAGAGATCTCTCTCTATTGAAGATTGGGATGGCTTTGGGAAGGTCTAGAAGCTTTGTAGCAGGCATGCACTTCTGGTGACGAGAATTTTAAAAGTAGTCCTTCTGTTGAGATTTCTTCAGTGTCCCATTCATATATTGTATTTTGCTTATATGGGCATACCTTCTACCCTTCCCCGTCTTTCCTCACTCCAAAATAATGATTTCATCTTCTGCTTTGATGCTATCTATTTATCTACCTATCTATCTATCTATCTATCTATCTATCTATCTATCTATCTGTCTGTCTGTCTGTCTGTCTGTCTGTCTGTCTGTCTGTCTGTCTGTCTGTCTGTCTTTCTATCATCTGTATCTATCTACCTATCTAGATTCTTTGTATGAGAGAAAACATATTTGTACTTCCAAGTCTGGATTATTTTGCTTAACATGATGATCTCTTGTTGCATCTGTTTTCCTAACAGTACTGCAGCTTTAGCCTTCTTTATGTCTACCTATCTTCTTAGTGTCATTGAATAGTAACTAAATATGTAGAATATTTTGCCCGTTGAAAACACCTTGATGTGAGGATTCTTATCACATTAGCTGTACACTAAAGCATTCTGAAAACTGTCTTAAGGCATGAATGGAATTCAAGCCAGCCCTTTACCCTCTTCCTTTTCATGTTGTCTTTTATACACTGATGTTGATTTTTGCCTCCTCCCTGTTTTGCCTTATGAGTAGGAAATTAATTCATTGCTCTTGTTGCCCCCAAGATTTTGACAACCCTAGCTGCGGCTCACATTGCCTGTTAGCAAGAGGTTAATATTCAGTAAATGAATCACTCACAAAAGAGAACACTTAGATGCTAATCACTTTGTACACCAATTCGATCCTGAAAAGAATTTCACAAAACTCACACTAGTAATATTTTTTATTTAACAGACCAGAAAAGAGGACAAATAGCCAGAAACTGGAAACTAGGTGACTGGCCTCCAGTGCTCTCTAACCACTTTAACCTGGACATATTCTTTAAAGCAATCCTATGGTGTTAATTTTATTACACAAACACACACACACACACACACACACACACACACACACACACACACACAC